TCCGTTTAGCTTGAAGTTTTCGGCCAATCGCAGACACCTGGCGCTGGGCTCTGTTGACCTGACGTAGAGAGGCCATTATTTCGCGCGCATTCGCATGGATAAATTAGCATTCGAGTCATCCGTTCTATGCTAATTTATCTATTGTGATAAGTAATTAGCTTGATTGTGGTATATATGTAGTTTAACAGAATCAAAAGTAGTGAAATTTTACTTGCCAAGTGTTGCGTATAGTGTTTGTTTTATTTCACCGTAAAGGTTTGTTTGCATTTTTTTGTTTCTTGCCGTCACGTAGGAGTGGTGGAATTAGTACAAATAGATTGTTGTCTTACAGATTTCCTATTAAATGAGTTAACTTCATTCTCAAAACATTCGTTCGAAAATAAAACGTGGCCATGGCCTTCGGCTCTTTCTACCCCGTAAATCCCTTACTGACGTGATACTATGTATGTACGTAGAATAGAAATAAATTAGCGGTATTTCTGCTGGTTTTTATTTGTGATGATGATGCTGGCCCTTATTTTGGTTTTTTGTTTTTCTATATATTTATTTATAGCAGCACAGTGTGACATAAACCCGCACTTTACGCACGCTTTTCCGTGACCTAAGTTGCCTATTTCTGCACGGTGTGTAAATAAATTGACCAACTTCACTCATGAAGAATTAGTACATTAAGATACGCGTAACTTAACTTTACTATGCCAATCAAGGAATAAACGTTCATGGATACATTGAAATTCTATTTTGTTGTAATGATATTTGATTTTTCCTTTTGAAATATACTTTCAAAATGGTAATCTGAACCGGAATTCTTTCTTTTCAGAGTTTGACTTGCAGTCTGTATTGCAATTCTTTGTGATTGCAATACATGAATTTTACTTTCAAAACACTAATCGCAAAGAGGGGGGCCTCTTGCCCGCGTCCGGGGCGGGTTTTTGTCACACTTGCTATAAAGCTAACCGTGCAGTAATAGGCAACTCAGCATAGGTCACGCGTATCGTAATGTACTATTATAATCTGTGTATGAGTGACGTGTGCTTTATACGGTTTTTTGAACGCCACTTTTATCATAATCGACATGGACTGTTCATATAATACCAGTGATGTTATGTATGGTGAAGGTGGTGAACACTAACAACTATACAGCAAGCATGTTCTGTCGCATGAAAAAACTGCATACAACGCAACGCAAGCACCATATCTAACATTTCGTTGTCGTTTTGGGAAAGGTGTACTAACACACTATTATAAGGTAAGTAATAAGGTAAAATTTATTGCATGTATTTTTATAAGATATGACATTTTGCTTATTGACGCGTTAGTCGTTTTTTTTGGTCCGGCTTTACCTTTCTTTTTTTTCACCCAACGCCACTGGTACTTTGCGATGCGCACATACTTTGCGACAGCGTTTATAGGACACTAGCTGTTGACTTTGATAGCCTGATTCAGGAACTAAAATAAAACCAGCAGTTTAATTTATCAACAAAAAGACGTCTTCAGAAGTCTACAAAACAAAATCCCAGTCCTCAATTAAACTAACATATTAACACAAGTGCGCACAGTACGAAGCCAAAATAACGTGTAAGATAGATAGATCACCAACGCGTACGCCACTGCTACGTAGTTTCGAATTACTTGTCGCTAAGAGTGGATGAACACACAAACAGACAGGTTTTTTTTTTATTTTATTTCATTTTATTTAATTAGATAGCATGGAGTATATATAACGTTTTTATTGAATTATGAAATTAAAAAAAGTTAGATTAGCTCTAACTAGTAGTAATAGTACTTACCATTTGATATATACATGTATCTCCACATTACCTCGATGTTACATATGCTAAATATGAAAAAACCCGAATATTTTCCCATTTGGGAATTTTCCCTGGGTTTTTTCCCTATATTTTCCCACATTGGGGTTTTTTCCGGGTAAAATCCCATCTCTATTCCTGATTAACATAGGCTATATTATCTCCCGTTAAAATAAATTTCGCCTGTGCCGGCGCGGATCACTAGTATAATATAATATTATAGATGCGAAAGTGAGTTTGTTTGTTCTAGTGTGCCACATAGAAACATACATACATATATAGGCTGATAAACACAATACCCTATTTGTGCGTCGCGCTTCGCGCAGCTTGCGTTGCGCAGTCGGGTAAAAATTAAGAGACATCAGCATGGAGACAGATATCTTCGAACAATCAACAATAAACGTCAGGAAGGACAACAAGTTATACCTTGACGAGACATATAACAGTTGTATAACAATATATTGCAAACAAAAAATTTAGTAGTACTTTTAGTAACTGTTGGAAAATATTATGTAATTTTATGAAGAATAAATAATATAATTGCATACCGTAATTATGTCAGTGAAAATATGTAAAATTCCAAATTGTATTAAGAACGTTGAAAAAGATTCTATATTTTATAACCAGTTACAAAAATCTCATAGTTTTATTTTTTTTATGATAAATTGTAAGTAAAACTCTTTCTAATTGTTATAATTCTATTCTATAGTAATTTTATCAAATGTTAAATGTATTATGTTCATTTGCTATACTTTTAATATAATTTACAATGCCCTAAAGGCAGGGCTCATGTTGCACCAGCAATACCTGGTCCGCAACTAAATCGAGGATTGTCAGAAAATAAGTACCTACATTGTATAATCCCTAGTATAAAGATGATAATAAGCTTTAATCTCTGTGTCTACATTTCAAAATCATTTATATTATAAGGTAATATATCAATTTCTTGTCTTTCCTTGGCTCCATAACCTTCAATTCATTTGCCTACTATTAAAAAGAAAAAAGGCCACTTGTCACTCTGGCCACAAATTATTCTAACCTAAAAAATTCTCCGGCCGACACCTACGCGCCCATTTTCAATATTTCGAAAAGTTATTATGAAAATTTTGATGAGTTGATCTGAAGCTGAAAGTTTTTATTTGGAACCTATGTTTTTATTAATTTCAAGCATAGTACGCTCCTTCACGAATCACGAGTGAAACGAAAACGTACTACTGTATGTGTATTTGCGTAATCTAATCTACACTCAATCGTAACTATAAGTACGAAATAGTTTCAACTTCCCTACTTTTAGGATAAATTTGTTCTAGTAGCAACATAATTATTTGCTTGTGTGTGTGTTTTGTCGACCATAAAAACGAGTTGCTTACGTACACAAAGATTTTATTCTTGCCTCACCTTTGACAGCCCGCTTTATAGGGAACTATCGTTCTAGGTGTAAAGCTAAGCGACCATCCAATATATCCAACAATCTGCTTCAAAATTGAGTTGCAAGATTCCACCCGAACAGACATAGTTACATACCTACCTATATTGCAAGTCAATTAAAAGCTTGTAAAAAACCTGACTGCTGATTTTTATTCTTACATAATTCAATAAAAGAATATTATTTTAAACTTTTGTAAGTCATGGCGCAGTCGGGTTAAAAGGAAATTACCTACAATGTAGGTAAATCTTACTAGGTAGGTACTGTAGGGATCGTTTCATGCAAACTAATTATTGTCATTGAAACACTTATTTTCAAGAAATTACATTATTATTATCAATAAACAATTACTGTTTTTTAAACTACCTACCTATTATTTAGTTTTGTTTTTAACGTGAGTGTAGGTAGATTACTCGTTTGTCTCTTTTTTCACCCTATCCACTTATTTATATATTATTCCAGATATTTTGCTCGATGGAAAAATCGAAATACCTAAATATTAAAAACAAATTACGTACTAGTAGATGAGTATATAAAAAAATATCCTATAGTCTTACCTTTCCAATATTTCAGGTAATTTAAAAAATGATATCTCTGGGTACGTTATTAAAGAGTTCAAGCAACCAAAAACAGCACAATATCGTCGTTTGTTCTTCGCCATATTAAATTATGTAGGTATCTACATAATTCAATCAAATATTTACAATACAAAACGCACGTTTCAGCACGGCTAACTGCATAAAAAACAATTCACACCGTTCGGTCGTCGCTGCGGCGTATTCGCGACCGACTGGGTGTCGCCCGAGATTCCGCCGACCTCGAGTGGCGTAGGTATGATTCGCTTTCCGACCGTTTGTATGAAGATAGAATACTGTATATATTATTACCGTGGCTGTGTTGTTTACTTTGTTTTTGACTTGTTCAACGTTTGGCTTAAAAAGGACTAGAAACCAGAGCCGTAAAACATATTAATAATAAAAAAAAATTGAGGTTTTTGGCGGGATTTCATCGAGTGTGGTTGGCGTCATATTATAATAATTCTTAAATTCATATATAATATTGTGAAATAAAATTGGTGTGATTTTGTGTTACAACTGTCTGCGTAACTGAAGAATTAGTAGAATCGTCAAAATATACGCTATTCCGGTCAAGTGGACGTGAGAATTTTATAGTAGTATTGACTACCTCACAGAAGCTTATCGAAAAAGCCAGCTCGATTCATTTCGTGCCAAACACTTCAAGAAACATTAGAATGCGTCACACCGACATTCTAATGTAAAAAGAAAAACAGAATAATTTAACTTAAGACTAGGCTGTATGGGCATTGTTCCCCTTGCCTTCCCTGAAAAGGGAGAACGTAACCCAAAAAAAACATTGAGGGCTTTTTTTTGGCGGGATTTCATCGAGTGGGGTTGGCGTCTTATTTTAATTATTCTTAAATTCGTTCATAGTGGATATTGTGAAATAAAATTGGTGTGGTTTTGTGTAACAACTGTCTGCGTAACTGAAGAATTAGCGGAATCATTAAAATATACGCTATTCCGGTCAAGTGGACGTGAGAATTTTATTGTAGTGTTGACTACCTCACAGAAGCTTATCGAAAAAGCCAACTCGATACATTTCGTGCCAAACACTCCAAGAAACATAAGAATGCGTCACACCGACATTCTAATATATAATAAAAAGAATATAAATTTAATTAAATAAAAAGAAGATAAATTTAATTAAAGACTAGGCTGTATGGGCATTGTTCCCTTTGCCTTCCCTAAAACGGGAGAACTTCAACAAAAAAAAATTGAATGTGATGGTGATGGTTGTGAGATGTGAGAACGTGAATTAAAAATAATTGTTATAATCCAATAGTTGAAAATATTCAATAATGTCTCGTTTACAAGCATGCAGAGTATGCTTGGCACATCATAGCCGTATGTATTCAATATTGAATGGGCCACTTCAACAGATTTATGAATATATCACTGAAATTCCGGTAAGATCTTTCATTTCTGGCATATTAGCGGTTAGCGGTCTCAATAATTCAAAATTTGAAAGAAATAATTCAATCAATCAATACTTTATTGCGTTCTACAATGTTTTCTTAGATCTTAGTAGGTACATTGGTTTGATCGTTGTAGATCCTGAACAGGGCACAGCAAATAGAGAAGAGGACGCATTCACTAATTGTAATTTAGTTAGTACCTATACAATTTACCAGCCAAATACGATAATTTTTTACCCAATTATTGTTCTTCATTGTCATTAGAAACGCGCATTAAGTAATTAAATTTAACGATTCGGTAATTTTATGCCCTAAAATAAAAATTTTACGAAACTATTATTTTAAGTCTATCTATATCTGAAAAGATCAGAAAGCTAAATATGCTCTACCTCATTTAGGAGTTTGGGTGTTCAAATGCAGACAGATGTTTATAATTTTCATTACTTAAGAATCAATTATCTGTGCATATAAAACCTAAACGGGCACTTAAAATCAGTTAGGTAGATTATGAATTATATTCATTGAATATAAGAATTTAATGTTATTACACAATTACTTTAGTCCTTGTATGTGATTTTAGCTTGTAATGGGTGACATATGGCCGACATGCATATGCTACATTTGCTACCATATGATGAGAAAATTCAAAAAGTTTATAGATAAATCACTAAAGGCGAACGAGCTCCTGTTGCAACTCATCAGTTCCGAGTCTGAGGTACTTATTTTTTAAAAACCTACAAACATTTCATTACAAAGTTTATGTTTTATGTAGCTGTTTGTGGCTTAATTTATACACTAACAGCCTTATTACTCACAATCGCAGACTAAAGTTAAACCTGGACTAAAGCTGATGCTGTAACTTTTGTTTGCTGTTATTTTAGTCTGCATCTCGGAATAAATGAAATTTTCAGAGAAATATTTCATAATGGTTAATTGCTTCCACTTTTTGCGTGTCTGCAAATATTGTTTAGTATTCCTTAATAACATTAACAAAGTTTTTGTACAAAATATGGAAGTAAGTAATTTTTGATTTGACCCTTAATCACCTACCACTGGTCTCAGGGACAACAATAACTTATAACAGTATACTATTTCTATATGTGCTGGTTGTGATGTCGTAGGCGTGTACCTTTGCTAGGCATCACATAATGTCAACTTGTACTTGATGAATAATATAATAATAATAAATATATCTTTATTCAAATAAGGTCATACATTGCATAATAATACTAATAACAATATAAAATACAAAATAATGGATGCCTGAACTAGGTTACAGTTAAAATTGCACATGTTTGCTCCGGATAAGTAAAAATATTTTGCAGTGACCACACATAGGTGGTTAAAGAATGAATATAGGTCATAAGTGGTTAAGGGTTAAAAACCTGATGCTTTCTTAACTATACCAAAAAAAAGTGACAATATAATTTTTAGGTTAACTGGAGTTTAAGCTTAGTCACTATTTTGTAATAAGTCTAAGTGTAATAGGCTAGTTGACCCTTTTTGGAAAAAGGTTTTAAATGGTTAATAAATGTTCTATTAGACCGAAAAAAAATGTATTGTAATTTTTTTAAACCTAGAAAGCTTCAAATCTTTAATTTTAAAATAGACTTTTCATGGACATACAAAAACGCTGTCGGCCATTTTAGTCTATAGATTATCTATGCTATGATGTGAACTGTGGTAAACAAAAACTCGTAAACACGTAGAAAATTACTTTTAACTGAGTTTATAATAAAAAAAAACATGATTTCTATTAAATACCTCGAAAAATAAAGTAATTATCATTACTGTATTGTACGAGAATATAAAAACACATCCTTGAAGACTCCAGGAAAGTTGTGGATTAAAGTGCCGAAAGAAATTAACCTACGCAACTTTATTACACTTATTCATATGTTGTATCAGTTTTATGTTTATTACTACATTGTAATACTAAATACACTGTACTTACATAGATGCATTGTCGTTTCTCTGCTCCGCAGAGCAGAAATCGGGGTTTAGTGCAACAAATTCACCAACCATCAATGCGTCAATTCTTGGCAGATTTGTGCTTTCTGCTTTTACAAAGCTGGCATCCATAATTAGTTTTGTCAAAAAAAACTAAGTTTACTGTTTTTTTTCTTTCCTAAAGTTAAAAGTGTTTTAAGATAAATTTAGTCAGACGAAAGAATCTACCTACAGTAACACGCGAATGACATTTAGTTGTTTGTTTACCACAAGAGACGTCAAAATCATGGCGGATGTGGCGAACAGCATTTTTAGTGTTTCAAAAATATAGACTAAAAAATATTTTTTTAAATTAAATTTCTACAGCAATGTTCTGTTTTTATTAAGTGAAATCGATATATTAAGGTTCCTTAGACTAAATACTTTAAGAAATAAACATTTATTTAATACATTTCGACATGAGTAAACTAGCCTATTAATTATGGCAAAATTATTTTACATGGGATTTTTTTAGGTCACCACAGACACACTAAATATGATTGTGAAGCGACAACCTGATATCGCCTGGAACTATAGTGTGTCACCGATGGAGAGTATTATGCTTGTAGACCCAGAAGAGGTTAATCTGGAGGCTACTTTCAAGGTTGAGAAAGTGAAGTCTGAATCGGACTTAGAGGAGATGCAGGATCAAAGTGAAACAGGTATTTGTTATTAGTATATATGCCAACCTCCATGGTGTCAGTGGTATGTACACCGGGTTTTTGAGCTGTCACCTACTTAGAGGTCCTGGGTTCGCATCCTGGTGGGGCCAATGTTTGTATGATGAATAGGTATGAAGTATTTGTACCCAAGTCCTGGCTGTTCATATATGTTTCTAGAAAAATATACTTGTTCACTTCATTATATTATGTAAATTAGTTCTATTATATGTAAGGTGTCTAGTGGTCCACATACTACATATAATGTCAGGGAGAATAAGGGAAGCTCAAGTCTTTGATTTTATACACCTTAGATACAGCATAAATATATCTACTACATATGGTAGATATGACCGTGCCTACGCACCCACACATTGACTGCTTTAGTACAATCTGACATTAGAGTCACACACACATTGCGTGAAATACAAGCCGTTTTCTTTGTTTGATTATTTGGATTGCCCACACAAAACGACAAAACAAATAATTTTTCACTGGGTAAGATCATGTCATAAAGAAGGGTCATGTATATCAATTCGCAAATGACTTCTGGTGGCCAACAAAAACATGAATCTATCACAAACTGTTATTCAGGAAAGCTTTGATCAGTTATGTAAGTGGGAACATGATGTAGGATTGTTGATAAATGGGCAAGAAACTAAAATAATTGACATACACTCATCACATAACAGGACACCTGACACACCGACTACCCTGATCAATGCCTGCATAGCGATAGGAATATTTGTTCGGGTCCAACTTTAGAGGTTTCAGAAAGTCATATGTTTATTGTTGCTATTATCAGGCATGCATTGATCCAAATTAATAATTTTTTATGCAGCCCCAATAGGCTAGTTGACCCTTTTTGGAAAAAGGTTTTAAATGGTTAATAAATGTTCTATTAGACCGAAAAAAAATGTATTGTATTTTTTTTAAACCTAGAAAGCTACAAATCTTTAATTTTAAAATAGACTTTTCATGGACATACAAAAACGCTGTCGGCCATTTTAGTCTATAGATTGTCTATGCTATGACGTGAACTGTGGTAAACAAAAACTCGTAAACACGTAGAAAATTACTTTTAACTGAGTTTATAATAAAAAAAAACATAATTTCTAATAAATACCATGAAAAATAAAGTAATTATCATTACTGTATTGTACGAGAATATAAAAACACATCCTTGAAGACTCCAGGAAAGTTGTGGATTAAAGTGCGGAAAGAAATTAACCTACGCAACTTTATTACACTTATTCATATGTTGTATCAGTTTTATGTTTATTACTACATTGTAATACTAAATGCACTGTACTTACATAGATGCCTTGTCGTTTCTCTGCTCCGCAGAGCAGAAATCGGGGTTTAGTGCAACAAATTCACCAACCATCAATGCGTCAATTCTTGGCAGATTTGTGCTTTCTGCTTTCACAAAGCCGGCATCCATAATTTGTTTAGTCAAAAAAAACTAAGTTTACTGTTTTTTTCTTTCCTAAAGTTAAAAGTGTTTTAAGATAAATTTAGTCAGACGAAAGAATCCACCTAAAGTAACACGCGAATGACATTTAGTTGTTTACCACAAGAGACGTCAAAATCATGGCGAATGTGGCGAACAGCGTTTTTAGTGTTTAAAAAATATAGACTACAAAATATTTTTTAAAATTAAATTTCTACAGCAATCTTCTGCCTTTATGAAGTGAAATCGATATATTAAGGTTCCTTAGACTAAACACTTTAAGAAATAAACATTTATTTAATACAATTCGACATGAGTAAACTAGCCTATTGTAAAAAAAAAAACAAATTAGATCATTAACGGCAATGGAAGTGTGTCACAGTATAAGCGTTACATCACAGTTACCTAAATATGTTGAATATACATAGCTGCAGGTTGAGATTAAATATCACCAAAGAAATTTTGCAAGTCTCTGAACTTTAAATAATTTCGTATTCACTGCTTTAATAATCAAGTATTTTAGGCGGATTTTATTTATTAGCACTCATAATTCACTTCACTACTACTACGCACTAGCAAATACAAACTTTTGCTATTTTATTTATGAAAGATACTCGGGAGCTATTCAAATACATCTAGCGTCACTATTAAACTTTTGATAAGGTCAAAAGGTTTGAATTATTTATTTTTTGAATGACAAGTAAGCATTCCTGATACTATGTTCACTGTCATTGATATAGATGGTGATCATTAAATAAATTAAGTAATATTTACAGAAGCAAAACTGCCCAAGAAACGTAATCTGACCAATGAAAAGGACAAGGAATACAAACTTGATTCTCCAACAGTTATTATAGTTGTAGTTTATGTATTATGAAACAACAACTTATATTTTTTGAATATTTGTTTGTTGTTAGTGTCTAGCGAACACGTTTTTATGACCCATCAAATAAACGGCCGATGATTATTATTAACAAAATATTGTAATATTACAGAAGCAAAGCTGACCAATGTAATCCAAGTTGATTCTCCAACAGCGTCAAGAACAACCGAAGAAACTACAGAAACAGGAAACGAAGTCCAAAATATTGATGTCAAGATAATTACAGAATACAAAAATAACTACAGTCTCTCTAAACCAACAATTTTTACAAACAGAAGTGACGAAAATAATGCGGTAAAGAACAAGCACAACAAAGTCAAAAATCATAAAGAAAATTTGACATGCGATACATGCAAAAACGTATTTTTTTGTAAAAGAAATTTAGAAAGTCATATAACAAAATTTCATACTGAAATATCCGTCTTAGCTAACCAAAATTGTACCAACACTAAAGACAACTGTAATGAAAATGATAATAAAACCAAATTGGAGAGCATTATTGTTTCTGTAACAAGAAGCAACCGTGGATATTCGATAAATAAACGCGATATTAAGACGGATATAAAAGAAAACCCATATAATTCTAGTATCTGCGACAAAAGATTTACTCAAAATAGTAAGTTAGCCACACATCAAAGAATACACACAGGAGAGAAACCTTATATATGTAACGTCTGCGATAAAAGATTTACTATAGGAAGTTATTTATCCAAACATAAAAGAATTCACACGGGAGAGAAACCTTATAAATGTAACGTCTGCGATAAAAGATTTACTCAAAATAGTAATTTAGCCACACATCAAAGAACTCACACAGGAGAGAAACCTTATAAATGTAACGTCTGCGATAAAAGATTTACTCTAAACAGTAGTTTAGCCACACATGAAAGAACTCACACAAGAGAGAAACCTTATAAATGTAACATCTGTGATAAAAGATTTACTGCAAGTGGCGATTTGTCCAAACATCAAAGAATACACACAGGAGAGAAACCTTATAAATGTAACGTCTGCGATAAAAGATTTACTGTAAGAATGCATTTATCCATACATCAAAGAATTCACACGGGAGAGAAACCTTATAAATGTAACGTCTGCGATAAGAGATTTACTACAAGTGGTAATTTATCCAGTCATAAAAGAATTCACACGGGAGAGAAACCTTATAAATGTAACGTCTGTGATAAAAGATTTACTGCAAGTAGTGATTTATCCAAACATAAAAGAACTCACACGGGAGAGAAACCTTATAAATGCAACGCCTGCGATAAAAGATTTACTGCAAGTAGTGATTTATCCACACATAAAAGAATTCATACGGGAGAGAAACCTTATAAATGTAACGTCTGTGATAAAAGATTTACTGATGGTAGTAATTTATCCAGACATAAAATTATTCACACGGGAGAGAAACCTTATAAATGTAACGTCTGCGATAAAAGATTTACTCAAAGTGGTGATTTATCCAGACATAAAAGAATTCACACGGGAGAGAAATTGTGATCGACCAATAATTTAGTCGTTATCGTACGATAACCAATCACCGAAGTATTGTTAATACTTCAATCTCATGGTGTATGATTTCAGAATGACCAAACTGAAACGCATCTTAAGCGCAAAGGCGGCCTTAGGGGGCTCCGCGGCGTCGCTTTTGCAGGACTACATTTATCTGTCGTGTTGTGCTGTGACTCATCAGACAGCTATCTGTTTCATACATTAGAATGATTACAGTAAGAACGGTGTCAACACATCATATATAGATAAGACTTTATTCCCACCAACATGCACACATACAAAATTTACAAGACAAATTTTACAATTGGATAAATCCTTTAAAACAGGCAACAAATTATATTTATACAACTATACAATGATATTTTCGTGTGCAGCGGCGATGCGAACGGGCGAAAAATCAGCGAAACATTTACTCAGAGAGTGAATCGATCATTTTCATTTGCGAAGATGAGGTCTCGAATTTAAATGTTAGATTAAAATTCAAAATTACATTGAACGAAATTAAAATTAAATTAAATACGAGCAAATTAAAGCGGCAGAGGCAGCCTTAGGGGGTCCCGCGGTCTCGCTTAACAACCCAAATCCAGTCCAATCCGAGGTAGGCAAAAGCCGAATGAAGTTGGAATGACTACATAAATATGATTACACTAGATAAAAGTGATTTTAATAAAAAAAATGCGAGGAGACAGTCGTAACTCAGCATAGATCCTGTTGCGTAGACACTTAATACACAAAACTGCACCAATTTTGATCACATTATTTATAGCATTTATTCACTCCTAGTAACGATACACTACCCAAACCCTTAGATTAAAACAAAAAGGGTAGATACGGCACTAGCCTCACAAAAGTGATCCGCATAAATTGTGGCCCAAGGCCACAATCGCTTTAGTCACAACTTGACATGCAAATGACGTACATGTGAACGTCAAAAAGAAATATTGCTAAAATTTTGTGATTATAAGATAAAACAATGCCTAAGTGTTGTTTTAAAAAGTGCTCAAATTGCTCTAGTACTAAAAATAAAACCGACGGCATCACTTTTCATTCGTAAGTACTATAAAATATATTTTTTTCATAAAAATGCTGTTTGTTTTGAATCTTATTCGGTATTTGTTATTAAGAAAAAGACAACAACACTTGTATACGTTT